CTTCTTCATCTGTCATGTTTCAGCCAATTTCATAATTTGTTAGTTGTTTTACTACAATGATACCATTTTTTTAGAACTTTTATGTTTGTATATTCATTTTCTAGCACTGTAAGAGAGCACTGACACTATCATATAGGAGGTTGTATTGTTAACCCAAAGGCTAGTCTTCTCTGGCAGTTCAAATTCACCAGCAACTCCAAAAGTAAAAAGATAGGCAATCTGTTCCTGAGTGATTTACAAGCTCTGAAACCAACGGCGACACAATTTGATTCAACGATGAGTCAGTTCTAACTCCATATTGATGAGGGGCTTTTAACTCTGTAATGATGAGCCATTTGATTTTACTTGAATCTACAATCAACACCATTGGTCCCAATAGTTAGAATATCTGGAGATATATTACCAGAAACCTCTACAAAGTACTGACAAGAAATGATGTCCGTTTGAATACTAAGTGCACCTCATTCAGGTCACAGTCTTTTCAAACACTTACAATGATTGTGAGAGATGAACAATGACTAAGGATGACAAAAAAAAATAATGTCTTTGGGTTGTGGTGTTGGAGAAGAATGCAGAAGATACCTGCCAAAAGAATCAACAGATATGTCTTGCAAAAGGTGTAACCAGAGTGTTCCATGGAAGCAGTGATGGTGAAGCTTCATCTCTCATACTTTGCGTATGTTGTTAAGAGAAGTGGAGGGTCATCAAAAGAGAAGAAGACCCCTAATGAGGTAGATTCATACAACAGGACAGGACAAGTTCAGGTCTGTTGTTTATAGGGTTGCTACGATACTCAACCTGATGGCACCCAATAGCCACATAACAGATATATCACAGTAAGTGGATTTAAGGAAGAGAAATTATTTTTTTCTCATAGTTTAGGAGACTAGATGTCCAAACTCAGGTTTCTGGCTCTAAGGAAAGGCTCGCTCGCTCTCCTGATCTCTTTCCAGCTCTTCTTCTTGGGTTCTTTGGTGATTATGTTGTGCATATATTCCTAATAATCTGCTCTTTTGTGTCTCTAAAAGATTTGGTTTGAAATACACCTGACATTAACATGGCTTCGTTACTCAAAGAAAACTGATTCCCAAATGGAATACAGGTATAGAGGTTAGAGTTTACAGCATAGATTTGGCCCCATGGCTCAATCCATATCAGTGCTTTTACTGATTTGCTTATTAGTCACTCTTATCATTAACCTCTTCTTGTCATCCATATGATTGCAGAGAGGGAAGGGTGTAGATTTTTATATTGTTTTTTTTTGTATCAGAAGACTTGTAAGAACAGTGTTTAAGTTATATATTCTTTAAATTAGTTTACTCCACCTAGAGAATATTACTCTAATGAAAATCTAGCAGGCCTTGTTTATATTGTAATTCAGAAGGATATATCCAAATTGTTACCATTTCATCTAATCTATATTTATCTGAATTCAATCTCATTTTTTGTTCTTTATTTTAGAATGAAAAGAAAAGCCTGAATGAAGAATTGCATGAGCTGAAGAAAGAAAATAAACTTCTGAAGGAAAAGAATATTCTCGCAAACAAGAAGAAGGAACATTACGAATGTGAAATAAAACGCCTCAATAAGGTATCAAACCAGGTCAAGTGTGGGAGAAATGAGAATTCTTGTGTAAGGAGCTCGAGTTCCTGGAGAAGTAATGTGTCACATGTCAGGCTGCTAACTGAAACGTTGAGAGTTTGAATCCAGCACATGTTCTGAAGTTGAATATTGAATAATGTCCTTGAGTAAAGATTTACAGCCTCAGAAATCCAAGGCGAGGATTACTATGAGTTGGAATCAATGGCAGGGGCTTGGATTTTTCTGTTTGCTTGTTTGTTTTTTGTTCTGTTTTCTTGTAAAGAGTACATTGCTGAAAAAGTATCAGGAGAAAAGCCTACACTGCACCAGCTCCCGGGGTTTGAGCCCTGAAGGTCCTCAGTAATTTTTCTCTGCATCTTCCCACCACATTTGATTGAGGAGACTTGAAGCAATGCCCAACTCTACATAGAATCACCTTGAAAAAGAGAAGTGAGGAGAAATTCTAGACGAATGTATGCAGCACTGCTGCTGTTAGAAAGAAGCATAGAAAGTAGGTGGTTGTGCACGATAACATTTCTCTTGGTTGACCACAAAAGCTTCCTGAGGAAATAAGCTGCTCTTTTAAATGATCTCTGTTGGTGCAGGCTCTATGGAAACATGCTAAATCCTAAACCAAAGGAAGAAAAGGTAGACCTCCAAAAAATAATGAGTGGAGAGGGATGGCGGGAGAAAAAGTTATTTTTGTTAGGAAAATGCAATTGATTTAATATCTTTGCCCTGACTAAACTATACAAAAGTGTTGTCTGTGAATTGGGAGTCTCTGGGAGATGCAAATGGTTGATGCAACCTACTTCTGAAAAATCTGCCACTAAAGCCTCTGAGAATCACAGTTCCACTCAGACAAATGTGGGATCACCATGAGATAGCATTGACTCAAAGGCATCTGGTATCTGCACTGCTACAAAAGAATGTGTGTGTGTGTGTGTGTGTGTGTGTGTGTGTGTGTGTGTGTGTGATGATTGAGATGTGGGTGCTGTTTTCTGGACTGATAATTTCATTTACTTCGCTCATTTGTTCAGGGAGAAATTTTAATGCCTTGCTGAAAACTTTGCCAAGAGCAAGTCATATGTGGATCATAGGAAAACCGAAAACCTCTATGATAAAGTTGAAAAGATCTGCGTCTTTTCCAACTAGTTATGTCTTTGCCAAAGTAAGAAAAATTTTCTTAGTAGATGACTAACCTTGTTGTATAAAGTATGCTAGGAATTAACTAGTGTCTAGAAGTAATTTGAAGATCCCCAGGGTCAAGAAAGTGTCAGCACAGTTGACATGGTGCATTACAGACAACGATGTTTTATATATATCGGTTATGGGGAAAAGTTATTCTACAGAAGAAAGTGATGACTGGCTTTTTAAACAATGAACTCCCCTATCCTCTGAGGAAAAAAAACAACAACAATCCAATGTTCTAAGATACAAGTTGAAAGTAAATGTATGCTGGTATTTCTTTTCCCTTACTGGGAATTTCCACAAATTAATAACAAGAATGAAGGATAATGGAGATGAGATTTGAAACTCCTATAATTTTAACATTTTTTTATAAGTTATGTTACATTCTGTAGTTTGCTTCTCAGAAAAAAAAAAGTAAACTAAGCCTAGAAGATAAAGCCTATAGAAATTAGGGCAGTCAAGATTTCTTTACTCATGTGCATATGCATACTTCACTGTCTATATTCACACTATATTTAAAAATATAGAAATGAAGTAATGAGTTATAAAAATATTTTTTTCTCATATAGCACATATATTCTTGCTTATATTAGGGAAACAGGAGAAACTGCTTTCTTGTTTTGTGTTGTTATAGTGTTGAAAAAGAGTACTGAATATATCTTGGACTGCCAAAAGAACAAATGAATCTTACTGAGAGGTAATGCAACCAGAGTGCTCACAAGAGGCAAGGACGGTGAAACTTCATTTCAAAAACTTTTTAAAAAGAAAAGGAGGGGCCTCTTGTCAGGAAGAATCAGGACTTGGGAAAAGACATCATACTATAAAAGCAGAGCATAACAAAAGAGAGGAAGTCCCTTAACGAGATGAACTGTTACCATGACTGCAACAATGGGCTGTAGTACCTTCGACATCAGGAAGAAAGTGCAGGATAAGGCAAGGTAGTGATCTGTTGTTATTCATAGCAACACTCTTAGTCAACTTAGCAGGACATAACATGAAAAAGAAGATTTTTCTTTCTTTTTAATCATAATAACAATAAAAGGGGAGCTGTGATGGTTTAGTAGTAAGGAGTTATGCTGCCATCCCAGACACATGGTTCAAATTCACCAGCAGCTTTGCAGCAGAAAGATGGGCAGTCTCCTCCCATGAGATTTACTGCCTCTGAAAACTGACTGGAGGACCAGGAAAGAGTCAGTTCAAACTCACCGGTAGGCAACAACAGCCACTGGTGGCACAGATCATCGACTGCTCCAATTTATAGAAGTTGCACAGGAGAAAAATCACAGTCTCTTCCTGTGTGACATAAAGTCTGTAAAAATTCACTGGAGGGTCAGCTTTAAGCCAGTTTTGAATAGACCTCAAAAAGTGAGTGAGGGAACAAACAGAAGTAGCACACAATATTTATTTGGGTGGTTGGTTGAGCGCAATATTGTCTCACAGCATGGAATTTGCCCACCCTACTTATAAAAGCTCACTGCCTGCTTCTCCTTTCAGTCTGCAGAGTTGTAATATGTCAGTTTACTAATTTAACATATGGCTTTCAGAAGTTCTCACAACTATGTGTCTCTATGTGTACTCAAGTTAATTTTTATTTGCTTTGAAAAAATAACCAAGGTTATACTTTTCATCAGGTTTTTTGAAGAGAAGCCAGATTTTTATCCAAAATGGGAGAAATAACCTGAGCCTAGTCAGCTAGTACCACCCATGGGCAAAATTGACGTGTCTGGAAGCTCATTGAGAGATGTCTGGATCTGTTTAGTGTACATGTACCAAATAGTAAAGGACTATTCTAGAATGTGTCACAGCGTTTGCTCAAGGAAGTTGGAAACCCCCAAAAGAAATGTCTATTAGATCCACCTTCCATGGATGGCTCATTTGCAAACTTTCTAGAAGCTTAAGTAACATGAAAGGTACTCTAAGAAATCAAACTACAATAAGACTCAGGACAATAGCCGATTCATAAGTGGAAAAATAGACTCTTTATTCTCTGGACTGACTTCACCCTAGATCCTCCCTTTGACAATTAATGTTATTGAAGTTTGTATATGTCATTAAATCACTTGCAACTCATAGAACCCTATGTACAACAGCTCTGAACCCTGCTCTATCCTGAGCCAACCTCATTTTCTCTGACACACCTACCCCCATTAACCCAGTCACTGAGTCAATCTGTCTCATCTAGGATCTTCCTTTCTTGGGCTATCCTCTTATCCTTCCAAGCATGATGTCCCTCTCCAAGGACTGGTCCCTCCTTGCAACATATCCAAAGTATGTGAGATGAAGCTTCAAAATCCTTGCCTCCATGGAGCCTCTTGGTTTCAACCTCTTTTGGTTAAACCTGTTTGTTCTCATAGCAGTTCAGAGTATATTCAATACTCTTCTCCAGATCACAACTCAAGGGCATCAATTCTTCTATCATCCTTAGTCATTATCCAAGTTACAGTAACTATTATACTTCCCAGAACTTTATAAATTACCAACAAATTTGAACAAAGCATAAGTCATCATATAACTTTTATCCTATAATTAAATTCTTCCTAGAAAGAGAGGATGGAAGTTCATGATTCTATGACAAATCCTAAAATAAGATATTAATGTCAGACTAGACAATACTATTGATTAATTCTATTAGAAAATGCCTATTCTGCCCACAAACGCAATACCATATTCTTTTTTCCTTTTCTTTTTCTACCTTTATCACCATCCATATTTTACAGGAATGTGAATCAGGAAGTAAGTTACTAATACTAACACTCAGCAGACTACATCAAAACTACTCCCAGAGGAAATAAGTTCTTCCTCGAATTGTGAGCATGAGCCTTTTCTATTTGCACGGAGATATTATTTTATAATTAGTAAGTTGCCATATTGTTGACTCTGAGCACTATGAAGTAGACATTTTATTACATTTACTGTGAACAAGGGATCTTCAGAATACAGGTAATGTCTTTTGAATGTCCTGACAAAGCCTAGCATTTGTAGGGACATCACAGATTAAGGAATAAGGATGATACTTTTGGCAAATCTCTGATTTCCTTCACTCTCTCAGCCTGTGATAAAATCATCAGTTTCTGGTGATTGTCAAGAGAGCATGGAACTCTCACCACTCTATTTTGAGTTAAGGGATGCTCTGTTTTCAATGCTGTCAGGTGTCATTGAGTTGATTCTAACTCACAGCAACCCTATGTAACAGAGTAGAACTGAGCCAAAGGGTTTTTTAATCTGTCATCTTCACAATGCCAAATCACCAAGTCCTTCTCCCACAAAGTCAACTATTAGTTAGCAACCACGTAAGCCTCAGACTACTGAATAGGTGCTGTAATGGATAGTAAGTATGACTAGTCAGATAAAAAAAAAAAAAAAGCAAAACTGTGCTACTTCTACAATAGTCTTATAGAGTATGTGTCCCTTCCTGCACTGTCCCTCTCCAAGGACTGGTCCCTCCTTACAGCATGTCCAAAGTATGTCAGAAGAAGCCTCAAGATCCTTGCCTCCAAGGAACAGCCTGGTTTAACCCACTCAAGGATGAATCTGTTTGTTTTCCTAGCAGTCCATGGTACATTCAATACTCTTCTCCAGCACTACAGCTCAAAGGCATCAATTCTCCTTCTATCCTCCCTAGTCATTGTCCAACTCTCTGATGCATAACACGTGATTGCAAAGACCATGGCCTGTATGAGACGTACCTTAGTCTTCAGAGAGACACCATTGTTCTTCAGTGCTTTGGAGAGGTCCCTCACAGCAGACTTTCTCATTGCAATACGTCTTTTAATTTCCTGGATACTGGTGCCAAGAAAATCAAGGGCCGAACTCGCTCA